TTGTTGTTCCTTTGCTTGGTACTTCTCCTAAGCGCGTCGGTAGTCGCATGGGCGTCTGCCATTCCTGCGGGGTTGCCTCTTTCGCGACTCGGCCCCGCTGACCCGTTCAGCTTCTGATGCGTCGGCGAATGACGTCGAAGCTTTGGCTAGACAACGCCGTTGCCGTCGCGGCGCAACAGACCCCAGCGGCCCCGCCGTTCGAACTCGGCGGGGGCCGAGCGGCGGGTGAATTCAGGAAATCTGAAAAGCGAACTCAGCTCCGAGATCAGGCGCCCAGGTGCGGGCATTTGCCGCTTCCGGGCCGTCGGCACTTTGAGATCGCTTTGGCTAGGTCGACACTCCAGCTTGTCAGGTCGCGCAATCAGGCACTGCGATCGCATCGAGATATGTTCGGAGGAAACAGAACATCCTCAAACAAAAATCCACCGCTTCCCCCTCGAGGGGGCGCCGATGGTGAAACCTGCCGCCACCCGAAGGCGCGTCACTGGAGAGCGGGCTCGGTCAGCCGGGGAGAGCTCGAGCGGCGCTACCAGCGAGTCCGAGGCCGCCGTCGAGCTCAAGCGGCAGAGGGCGCTGGTGAGGCGTGCGAAGAGGCGGCGCCACGCGGTGGCTCGTGCGATCGAGGACGGGGTGCCGCTCGACCGATACCTGGAGTCGAGCGCGGCGACGCCGCGGGCAAGGGCCCAGTACCGGAGAGTGCTCGAGCAGTTGAAACAGAGGTGTGGCCGCCAGGACTTTTTCGAGATGCCAGCGGAGACGATGGACGCTTGCCTGGTCCACTACTTCACCTCGCTGCGCCTGCTGGGCGAGCAGGCTTCGACAGGGATGTATGTCGCGGCGGCCGTGAACCATTTCTATCCGAGGTTTGGACGCTTGGGGGCGGACGCACTACCACGGATGTGGAAGGCACTGAAAGGATGGAAGCGGCTGTCACCTGGGAGAGCCAGGATGCCCGAGCCGCTGAACATCTGGCGTGCCCTTATGCATGTTCTGGTGTGACGGGGGCGACGGATGATGGCGGTGTTCTTGGCGCTGGCTGTGTCTACCTACCTCAGTTCGTCGCCCCTGCTCCGCCTGCGCCCTGGCGACATAGTGAAACCAGGAGGTGGCGGCCAGCACTGGGGGCTCTCCATGCACCCCCAGGAGCGAGCGACGCCCGACAAGGTGGGAGAGTTCGACCTGAGCGTGAGGCTGGACTCCTCGTGGCTTCGGTGGATCGGGCCAGTCCTGAGCGAGATGCAGATGCTCGATCCTCGAAAGCTTGTGCGGGGTTCGATTACCCCGAGCTGCTGCGCGAGATGAAGGCGGCCTGCCGCGCGCTGCAGCTGCGGCCCGTCGCGCCGCATCAGGCGCGGCACTCGGGCGCCAGCGTCGACCGTGCCAGCGGCGAGAGGACGCAGGCAGAGGCGCAGCGGCGAGGAGGCTGGCGCCCGTTGAAGAATATGGCGCGCTACGAGAAGAGCGCGCGCCTCGGGCAGCGCGCGCAGATGCACGGGCCGATGCTGGGGGCGTACGGCGAGCAGTGCCTGCGCGAGCTGGAGCGCGCCTTGGTGCGGGGGCGAGCGGCGCCGCTGCCAGGAGGCACCCGGCCCTCGCCGAGCGGTGCAAAGCGCTCCTGATCGGAGACGAGCTGGCCATGATCGGGTCGGGCCTCGCCGAGAGTGGGGTGCCTACCTGGATGTGGCGAGGCGACGCCCTCTGCGACGAGCGGCTGGGCGCGCCCCTGGAGCGCCGCCTCCAGGCGCACATTCGGCGCGGCGAGGTGACCGTGCTTTTCCTGTCGCCCGCGCTGCCGTCAGCGAGCAAAGCTACAGGGAGGCTAGTAGGCCACCACCGTCCGAAAAGGTTTGCGGAGCGTTTGAAGCGTCTCATTACCGCTGCCTGGCAAGCTCGAGTGCCGCCCATCCTGGAGATGCCCCAGGGTAGCCGGCTCTGGCCACATCTTCTGAGCCAACCCGAGGTGCCAGAAAGTTTCGTGACGAAAGTTGCCAGTGACAGATGCATGTTCGGAGCCTCGTGGAGACACAGTTGTATATACATGCGCGTTGTCACAGATCCCGAAGACATATCGATATTGCCCCGTACTTGTGGCAGCTGCGCAGGCATTTGTGATAGGACTGGCGTCCCTCATATCCGCCTACGGGGCAGAGATAGATTCGGAGTGAGCCGCACTAGCTATTCGCTGAAACGCCCAGCACTTTTAAACCACGCGCTCACTCACTCCCTCCAGTCCCTCGC